TGGTAGTGGGAGCGGGGAGGAAACATATAGGAACTAGAGGAAAGTTGTATTTCTCATCGTTGTTATATCGCACCCTGACTGGCTCATCTCCTCTTGGGGAAAACTTTCAACGATTCCAGATTGGATAACTTTTTAAGATAAAAGAATTTGATAAGAATTGCTCTGGAGACGAATGACCTCTTTTCCCCTTGCGCCTTTTGAAGCGTGGGAGACTGTTACTTGTTGGCTCATGCTGCGAGTGCAGCGTTCTCTCCGAGGCTGCAGGTTGGATTGCGGATTGTATTTGCAGCCCTACTAGAATCTGGCTGGGCCGTTCATTGCCTTGTAGAAACCTTGAACTCAATGACTTTTGGTTCCTTCTTTCGGATTATGACATTCCGGAGGGAAAGAAATCTTCTAACTTCCCTCCTAGAGGTTGAAGTCTTACCTGCTAGACTTCTGGGGATCAAGATGAGTAAGCAATCACTTAATCCCCCAGTTTTTAATTCTCCTCCTCCTCATCTGGGTCTGTTAGCCCCTAGTCCGGTTTTACTTCTCCGAAGGGCAATGCCTCTAGTTTCCTGCCAGGGAAAGGAGAAGGGAGAGGAATTGCTCGCCTGGAGGGAGGCGAAGTGGGGTATTGCGGAGGGAGAGCCTTCACTGTATTTTAAAGCACGCTTTTTGAAGCAGGTATATTTGCCCTACCTCCAGTCTCTCTTCCAGAATCATTTGCTACCACTAACTCCTGGGCCTTTCGGAGTTTGCGCTGAGTAAGTCAGATTGTGTCTTGGCCTTTCCCACTACTGATCAAGGAGTCCGTTTTTCAGTGTCCCCGGTCAGTTACCAGTTGTTCACTGCTGTCTACTTTGTCGAAGTTGACAGGCTTGCCTCATCTCAACTTTTGTTGTTGTTGTTGAAACCTTTCCTTGTTATCGGGTGAAGGCTGGCAGAGCAGCTCCTAGTGCTGCGTTCAGTGACGCGTGCACGTTCAGCTTGGCTCATGGCCATCCCTCAGTACCATCACTTACCCCACTTCCGCCGTTGCTGTCCTGCTTCCACGCCTCCTCCTGTCCTGACCCTTCGGAACCTCATCCGTGGGTAATACTACCCTTTCGATCACAAGTGGTTGATCATTCTCAGGTGTTCGTACCTCACTACTGTTATGATTCCCCTTATAGACAGGTCTGTTGTTTAACTGAAAAACAGGCGGTGTGTTAATTTCCAGACCTGAAAGATGGCTGAGGGCCGTGATCTCCGAGGTTCCACCAGTCTGCATCTGACAGTGAGCCTGTTCATTTTATGCCTTAGAGCCTTGTTTCACGTGTTTCCTCTCTCGCCAGGGTCTCCTCGTGGGCTGCAGAGTCGTAGGTAGTGGGAGTTCTTCTGATCTTAATGTATGAGAAAGCTCTGGTTTGGACATGATGGAGACTGATGTTCACATGATACGTTAGCCCACTGGGCTAAGTTTTTCCACCTGTCTCCAATTTTTATCACTCTTCTTTCCTCCAGATAGGGAGAGATCACTAAATGGCCCCTCATAAGATTTGAAGAGCCCATTCGATACTCTCAAAAGTAGGATGTAGAACAGTTTTTGTGGAGCATGTTTTACCATTTGCATTTGGTATCTATCCTCCACGACTATTGTCCTGAGACGACTGCACGTCAAGCAGCTCATTCCCTCAAGGTGTTCAGTTATGTCAAAAAGTTTACTTAACTCTGCTTTCTGTTTGCTCTACCACATTTATGGATATATTTGCAACAAAGTTAAATTCCCGTGTACAAAATCCTCTGTTAAACCTATGTATACTTGTGAGTGTGCTGAGTGTCAGCCTGTGCATCTACTCATAGATCACCACTATTGCATCATTGTCTGTGTAACAAAACCAGAGCTCGGTGGTGTACTGTGTTAGATACAGGTGGGCTGCTTAACCACAAGGTCAGCAGTTCAAAACCACAAGCTGTACCACAGGGGAAAGATGAGGCTTTTAATTCCCTTAAAGATTTACAGCTTTGGAAGCTCACAGGGGCAATTTTACTCTTATTTTTCAGGACCACTACGAGCCACATTAGATTTGATGGCAGTGAGGATTTGGCTTAGCTGGACGTCTGTAACACTGTTACCTCGGTTGCCTTTAACTCTCAGTGTCTGGCTCAGCCGTCATCATTGTTTTGCCAACCTCCTGTTGTATATTGTGTTCCCCTTCACTTTAGTTAATGCATGTATACCCTCTAGCCAGTGACGTCCCCCGCCTCCTCCCTCCCAACCATGCTAACACAAACATTTTTTTCAGTGCGAAACCTTTCCTTCAATTTTTAAAATAATGGTCTCACAATCTTTCCCCTCAGCATAATGAGCCCCAGGTTCACCCATGTTATGAGATGCTTCACAGATTAGTCATTTCTGGGTTTATGTCTTTTAAAAAGAGAACTTGACTCTAATGTAGTTTTCTAGTGTAAATAAAAACAAAAAAAAGAACAACACTACTAACGTTTATTGGTATTTTTTGTGTGCCAAGTTCTGTGATAAAAGCCTTTAATGTTCCCTTGTTTATTTTACTTTCCCTATCCGATGTTTTCACAGGTGATTAGACACTTCTATTGTGTGTGGTTTATAAATGAGCAAGTTGAGGTTTAGACAGCCTATCTCCCCTCCAGGGACAGAGCTAATAAGCAGATGGGCTGGTGTGTGTTTCAGCTGATGACCTTTTTCTGGTTTTGTTCTGTTTTTCCTTTCTGAACCGTCCCTCTCTGTGGCCTCTGGACATGTTAACCTCCTCCTTCATTTGTCGTTGTGCCATCCTTATGTCCCATGCCCTTCTTTATCTCCCTCATCTAGGTTAGTCCAAGCTCCTGGTATCCGCACCTGAACTCGGGTAGTCTTAGTCTTAATGTTTTCTGCTCTTTGATTGCCATACTGAAGCTTGTCCCCTGCACATGCATGTCTGTAATCACAAAACACACTTACTATGAAGACTTTCCTGTGGTTTGGGGAGAAAGATCACAATCCTTGATAGGACTCACAGATCACTCCCTGTTCCGAGCTGACCTGTGTCCACCACCAGTCCTGAAACCTGTCCGCCTTGCTGAGCGAGTCATGCTGGCCTGCTCTCTGGGCCTCACGAACAACAGGCTTCTGTCTGA